GTGTACGGCCAGATGTTAGTTTGAACTCCGTAAATAGTTTGACAGGAATATTCAGTAAATTTAGTAGTAAATATAAAATGGACAAATTTCTAATCAGGAATAATTTTATGATAGCACAAAGAGAAGTTGTGTTAGACAGTGATATTTGTTTTCAATCACGTAATTTAAAGAATCGAAGGCAAATTTATGAATCTGTTGCAATGCAATATATCCCAATCAGGTCATCAATTGAGCAACTCTTCAAGAAACCAGGTTTTTATTCAATATTACAAAATCGTTCCAGTTATAACGGTGAGGTTTATTCCAATTTTTACAACGGTAAATTAAGTAAGCAATTCGATAAAAATGTTTTGTTTCTCAATTTGTACTATGATGATGCAGAGGTTGCCAATCCATTAGGATCGAAAAGTGGAAAGCATAAATTAGCAAATTTTTACTTTTCAATTCTTAATCTACCACAACATTACAACTCAAAGCTAGAAAACATTATTTTAGTCGCATCGTTAAAGACAGAAGATCTTAAACTTTGTTCTCCAAACGCTGTCGTTCGAGTAATTGTTAATGAATTATTGCAGTTATGGAATGAGGGAATAGAAATTTGTCACAATGGCGAAAAAATAATTATTAAAATTGTTTTAGCTCAGCTATCAGGTGACAATTTAGGATTGCACACTATTCTTGGATTTTCTGAGGGATTTAATGCTAACTATCCCTGTCCAAGATGTAAAATGCAGAAAAGAGAGTGTCAAACTAACAATGGAGGTCTCCCAACGTATGCTCACGGATTTGGACGAAACTAGTGTCAATCGATCACAAATTTAACCAATATGAAATTTGCAGAAGACACTATCTGCCAATGCGCAGGTTTGGCGGAGATATTTGCATAAAAAGAGGAGAAAATCGGCAAATTTTTCACTCCCATTTTCCTCAAGGTCAAAGATTCTCTCGCTTCTCGCTTCTCACGCTCAAAGGTTTCTCATTCGTAAATTGTTTTTTTAAATAACTATTTTATTGGTGGATAACTAATTATCCCGAGTTGGATTAATTTATATTAATTAATATCAGCTTAATTGAAAAAATGGATTCCGTTAATTTTTTGTCGGTTAGCAAGGCGTTAGTGGAAATTTTTAAACAACAGAATTTTCATGATTGTGCAATCTATGACATCGACCTACGTCGTTGGGGATTACTTACGGCCGCAGAATATGAGGGATTGGTCTTCAAGGGCAGTAAAAAATGGCTGGCTAGTTTAAAGACAAGGAATGGAATTTCATCAAGGAGGATCCAGAAATTAGTGAGCAAGCGTGCAGTTCGAGATATGGACCAAATTACTGCGACGGCAGCATTATTCCGACAGCAAATGAAATCTTTGATACCTAAATTTTTACCTAGCAATATTCTTAATACGGACCAAACAGGGTTTAATTATGAGATGACGTCCACCAGGACGCTCTCCTGGAAAGGAGAACGAAAAACGCTTGGTTCAGCCAACTCGCCTACAAACAAAGTTACTCACAGTTACACGGTCCAATATGTAATAGCATATGACGGCACTATTTTTGACAAAGTGTTTATTTGTCTACAGGCAAGGATATTTACTATAATTACAATTAGATTTACATTAAATAAGAAATACACACCAAATACGTATTTTTTATGATTTAGGAGACAAATGGATCGTTTTGACCTAGAGTTGAGCAGAGTATTTTTCCAGCAGTAAATGTGCATACAACCGCAAGCAAGTCAGGGAAACTGTCCATTTCACTTGTTGAAGAATTTATTAAAGAGGTTCTTCGCCCTAATTTAGATACCCAATACGACTACTTATACCTTATCGACAATTGGGGTGGCCAAACAAATATAGAACTCTACAGCTCATTATTGGACGAAGATAATTCCTTCACGGTCAAACTAATCCCCGAGAACACTACCGATCTATGCCAGCCTTTAGATACTTACTTTCATCGTCAACTTAAGTACCTGCTGAAACAATTTTCTGCATATGAGCTCCTTAATGAATATGAAAAGCCCTCGGAATTATCAAGTAGAAATGGCGCTATTAAGCTGCATTCCCTCGCCCATTTCATCTTGTCAGCTCCTGTTTTGAAGCCAATGGTGAGATATTGTTGGTTCTCTAGTGGAATCTGGGCCGAAGAGGAAAAACCAGATTTTCGAAATGTCAAAGACGCATGCTTTTCCTTCTATGCGAGCAAATGTTCCTCCGTTGAATGTCACAATGATGCATTTATAGAATGTACTTGGTGTCATAAAATCTTATGTTACGAGTTTTACCATCAATACCACATAATCAATTGTGAAAAATGTATCTATTTTTGAAAGTTTAATATATAAATTATATTTGGCACATAATAAATATTTGCTATCACTTTAATCATAATCGAGAAATTAATTTTGCCAAAGTAATATTGATTCGTTTGTTGCAAAATCATGAAAATTCTGTTGTTTAAAAATTTCCACTAACGCCTTGCTAACCGATAAAAAATTAATGGAATCCATTTTTTCAATTAAGCTAATATTAATTAATATAAATTAATCCAACTCGGGATAATTAGTTATCCACCAATAAAATAGTTATTTAAAAAAACAATTTACGAATGAGAAACCTTTGAGCGTGAGAAGCGAGAAGCGAGAAGCGAGAGAATCTTTGACCTTGAGAAAAATGGGAGTGAAAAATTTGCCGATTTTCTCCTCTTTTTATACAAATATCTCCGCCAAACCTGCGCATTGGCAGATAGTGTCTTCTGCAAATTTCATATTGGTTAAATTTGTGATCGATTGACACTAGTTTCGTCCAAATCCGTGAGCATACGTTGGGAGACCTCCATTGTAAGTGTTTTGAAGAAAAAGTGCAACTACGTTCACAAATTAATTACGACCAGGATATTTTAGCTAACAATTTAAGTGAAACAGGAATCAATTTTCTGTCAATTTTTAATGATTTGCCGTATTTTCATGTCACAGAAAATTATGTATTTGATATTATGCATGATTTGTTTGAAGGAGTTGGTCCAGATCTTTTTCATGCACTAATTAATATTTTAGTTTCGGAAAAACTAATTAGTATTGATAAGCTTAATTATCGTTTAGAATCCTTTGACTTTGGGCGACATTACTCTAAAAGCCTACCCTCTCAAATTAAGCAGTCATTTTTGTAAGGCGACACGAAATCAGGTCAGAATGCTTCCCAAAATATTTGTATACTTTTATTTCTGCCAATCATTTTAGGCGATCTAATTGATGAAAAAAATCAAGTGTGGTCACTATATATTTTACTCAATGAAATAGCTAGAATTCTTTTATGTAATGAGATTAGTAAAAGTGGTTTAATTTATCTCGATTCGCTGATTTCCGAATTTTTGAATTCCTACCAAGCCATACTTAGAAAACCTTTAAAGCCAAAGCACCACCACATTACACCACCACCACCACATTCATTACAGTTCAGCTATTAAGAAGATAGGTCCACTTCGACAATTTTGGAGCATGCCGTTCGAAGCTAGGCACAAATTTTTTAAAACCACTGCTCATGTAATTGGGAACTTTAGAAACATTTCTAAGTCTTTAGCTTACCGTTTTCAACTCGCCCGATGATTTAAATTGCTTGGTGTTGATGAATTCACCCCACACGATTTCGAATACATTGATCTAGAAAATAATTTTCTGTCTGATATGGAAGATGGTAATGTGATTGCTAGTTATCTTCGCAAAAATATTTCCGAGCAAGTACCCATCTCACATAAAATAATTAAAAATGGTTCCGCCTTTGAGGTAGGAGGATTTGTTTTATTGGAATGTTGCAATCAATACCCAATTTTCGGTTTAATTAAGACAATTATTAATGACGAGGGCGAATGCTATTTTATGCTGCAACAATATACTTCTGAATATGTAGAGAATTTTTCTAGTTATAGACTAACTGATTTGGGTAATTTAGTTGTAATAGATTTTAATGATGTAAAGTACTTTCAGTGTTTTTATCCATCAATTTCATTTTGTAATGATTTAGAAAGATACATTGTGTTGCCTGTAAAATTTGCATAGTTTTGTAAGTTCCACATTCAGATTAATGAAACCTGCAGTAATTTATGTTAACAGTATGTTAATACCATAGCATATTAAGTTCCAAATAAACCAATAATTATTTGAATTGATTTGTTTTTCGTTGTTTTATTTAAAATAGGACTCCCAGTCATCAGGATTTAGTGGTGTATTACTAGTTGAACAAGAAATGAGAGAAAGAGGACTGAAAGTGTCGCCAGGCCTTTTCCGGAAATCGTTCACTCCTAATGTTCACCCAAAGCTTTCCAGTGTCCAAGAAGTCTTACCAGAAGCTTTGGTGCCGGCGAATCCGCAGGTAAATTACAGCAAAATGCAGCTAAAATGCATTGAGAATGTTGTTATTAAAACATATTATGTAGCATCCAATTAAACTACGTCCTGTTGTCTATACAGGCCAGTGTGCGAATTCTTGGTAATCCACCTTCCCCAAATACCCAGAGCGTCGATTTTGATGTGGCCCTTTCCTCGCCAAGAAATTCTCAAGGGTTTCTTGAATTTGAGGAAAATCTGCCGGCTGATACTCGCCAGACAGATTTAGGTGTTTCGCCTTCTGAATTAAAGAAGTATTATAATTTTGTGAGTTAGCATTAATTGTATAATACCTGTATCAATTCTTAATTTTAAGTAGTATAAATTATAAATTAAGTATTATTTTGCAACAGAATTTGGAATCTGTTTTGTTGGAAAACGAGGCCGCTCGACGGGTTATCAAGGACAAAATTCCTGCCAAAATGTTTGTAATTCGTGAAGATCGCCAGGCTATTTGCAGTGTACTCGTGGACGCATTCATTCAAAATCTGGGTAGAAGGTTAGCATCATGAGAATTCGATCAAAATAATTTGTATATCACTTTTTAACATTTCGAAATAATAATCGCATTACTGTGTTTTTTAGCCCAAGTAAGCAGGCAATGCAGCAGCTGGCAGTGGATTTAGTAAATAAATATCCACTTCTTGGAGACCCTCGCAGGAAGAATTTAGGGGCTGAAATGTGGTATTTCAATTCTGCACATTCACAAGGATCGACAGGATTCTTGGAAGAAAGGATCAAAAATCAACGAAAAAAACTTACCAAGAAGAAGATAATTGAAAAAACTGTTGAGATAGACATTTATCCACTCCCCTGGGATTCCGAATTTGACGAAGGTAAGTTTTTAGTTTTCCAATATATAATTTGTTTATAATTTCATAATTTGTTTATGCTGATTAATTTAATGATTCTATTTATTCAGAAAATCCGGAACCTGACGAAAAAACGCTGGAGTATTTACGGCAGAATCGAGGTGCAGATATTATTGACACCATGAAATCAACCGTGTTCATGCGCCGAACAGTCATTAGAGATGAGATTAAGGACAATTTGGCTGGTTTCCGTCGAATTCCTGCAATTATTCCTCGTTTATTTGATATGCAAGGAACGGTAGGCTGCGGCACCCACAGCTGAAACTAATAATTTATGAACGTTGGCCAATAGCTTCAAAACTTCTAATCAAATATGCCGAAGAAAGTTCAATTAATTATAAGAAGACACTAGGGCTTCATAAGCCAAAATCAGACTTGTCCGATGGTAACGGCAATGTGCAATTGTTTTTATTTCTGCTCAGTCGATAATTTACTATTTAAATTTGTTAATCGCTAAATTATCGTCCAATGCAGATGACGTCTCCTTCTTGGCATATTCACTTCTTCCTTATTTGCTCCCCTCATGTGCTCGTAAGATTCCAACCAAGGTCAAGTCCCTCGACGAAGGAAAGACTGGACAAAATAAAGAAGCCAGACAGATGAAATTGCAACTTCGAGCAGCCCGAAACAACTTAGAAATTGCAGAAAGCTCTTCGGAGGAATAAAACAAAGAACGCCGAGTGGCTCAAAAAACCAGTCGGGTTCGGACCGTCAAAGCTACTAATTCTGACGCCCGAGATAGTATGATTCTATTCCGATCGGTGAGAATTTCTTATCATATTCTAATGCCGAGCATTTGACTAATTTCAATTTTCATTTTATTCAGAAAAACACCCACGTAGCGGATATTTTGAGTGAAAACCGGAATGCCGCACCATTCATTTTATCCCTTGGATCGACGTACGATTTGAAAATTGAGTCTTTTTTTGTAATTTTGGACAAATTCGCCATCCCGTGTGGATCATGTTTCCTTCTTGCGCTGGATACTTGCCTGAAATCTTTTACCGTATTTTATTTTCCACCACCTGTGGAATATAAAAACGTCTGGCAATTTCTTCACGGAATTGCAGGAAACCCTTGCGACAGTCTAACATTGACCCCTATTGTTCAAGCTCTAATTGGACAGATAATTCCTCGGATCGATTGAATTATATGTAAAACTGTTGTTAATATGCTAATTAATATGTTTAAATATTATGTATATGTAGGTAATGCTATCATGTAATTTATTTGTGGGTAAAATTTAACGCTATTATTGTTATAAGCTCAAATAAACCAAATATGCATAAATAATTTTAAAATTTTGATGTTTTTGCATTTGGCGGGGCTGGCATTGTAACTCATAAAAAGTAACAGTAACACGAACCGTATAAAACCGCTGCAGAATTTCAGGGTTAAGTTTGCCCGGAACAAAGTAAACCAGGTTACTCCAGTTTGGGTTGGTTGCTAACTCAAAGCGAAGTAAACTTGGTTACCCCTTTGCACTTCTGGGCTCGCTAACCATGTACAGCGTCGTGGCCCTTTTTACCACGCTACGGATTGACTTTTACTCGGTATGTGTTTATTTATTTTAAGTCTGTACGTACAGATACATACATACATGGATATTCTATAATTTATAACTTAAATCCAACGTAATTCCACTAGGTGTTGGAATGAGAATGGAATTGTAGAACTTACAATGTCAATCATAAATTATGATTCATAATCAATATCATTATCACGCATACGTATCAATTGATCATCAAATCTCACAAGAAAATAAATTCAAATTGACGGCAACTAAATTCGACGAAATTTATATAATCAGAATTGAAGTTACATATCGTAATAATATTAATAACTGAGCAGTCGAGCATTGCTCCTTGAAATTCAGACTCATTTGCGGACCACATGTCCAGTTGAACTTAATTAATATATAAATCTTGTGACCATAAGCTAAATATTTTCCGAAGTTTTGCATATTGCTCATTCTACATATTCGTGGAATATCGTATCCATTTGTGATTTGCGTCATTCATTTTTCACGAGTCATAAAGTATAAGGTCATAAAGTAACAAATGATTTATAGCTCGGCTTTATGCAAAGCTAAAGTTTTCCACATTACCGGACTTTTCGGCGTTTTCACAATCCAATAAAAAAGGTTTCTGAACCAGAATTAGTTTATTTCTTCTTAGAATTAGCATTATAATTTATAACTATATTAAAGATAGTAAAATCTAGTCATTCTTACGGAGTCAGCGAGATGAATAAAAGCAGCCCGTCGGTTCATCATTCTACTCAAAGTCAAACAACAGTCGAAATTCGCAAGCTAGAAAAAAAAACTGGGACTTTATTTGAATCATGAAGCTGATACTTCTGATCCTGGTCATGACCGTGGTGTCAATAATGGGACAAAAGGACGAAATAGATCATCGGGTCGCGTCTCCGAAACAGGGGGGACCTCTGGATGTTCCATCTTCTCAAGGAATAGTGGACACAGATAATCGTAATTATAAGTATTTTTGTTGCACATACAAAATCTTAAATTGACCTTTTAAATTAGAAAAGTTACCTATTTTATTGGAAAAGGAATACTAGCAAAGACTTGGATCAAATATTTATATATTTGAAAAAACAAAGTTATACCAATAAGAGGGCGTTGTGTAGCAAGGATGAGTTATTTAAATAGTATGGTCTGTCTCAGAATCAAGAGATGGTTTTCGAAAATACTATTATTATTTGATGATTTGGTTCTAGGGGCCAAAGTTTTATTATATTATGGACAAAGTATTACTACATGTTCATGCCAACTTTCATTTAAATTTTATTCAAATCATACAGTTCAATCACAAAAAATTAGTCAAATTCGGCTGTCTCAAAAGCAAGAGTTAGGGCAATTTTTTGGAATTTAATTATCTAATGAGTTAACTGTTTACGGTTAAGTAACTTTGTAGCTTAATTTAGCATTTAGTGAAACCCCCTTTGGCCAGAATTAACGCGAATATTCGTCGCTTCATCGAATAATTTAAATTCTGAAGGGTCACCAAATGGATATTTGCCCACTCGGGCTAAAATTCCTGTTCGGTTCGAAAATCCATCTCTTCATTCTGAGCCAAAGCGTATAGTCACGTTTTCACGAATTTATGGAGAACAGATTTGTTTTCTGATTGGGTACATCATAGTGTTACTTGGGATATTAATCTTTTTTCTTATTTTTATGAATTATAGTAAAATTGAGAAGTTTTTAGTTATTCGCCATAAAAAGTTGTTTAAATTGCATATTCCTACGCAAACAGATTTTCATGACTATTGTCTCTGTTTCTATAAAGGGGCAGGACAAAATTTAAAAAAATTAAATTAAAAATTAAAATACCGTTTTACATCGACAGGACTAAGAATTCACTGCTTTTCAGCCTTAGATGAGGACTTCTTGCCATAATTTGGTGGCAAGTTGTCTCATCTCAACAGAGAACGGACTCTGCCGAGGGCTGTACTCATGACGTTGCCATTCCGTATGGCTGGGTTCACCCTGTCAAGAGCCAGCACCTACCCCGTACCAACACAGAGCCAAGTAGGATTACTAAGCCCTGATCCAGGATTCGAACGTAGGACTGCGTGGTGACAGTTCTACCTCCTCACCACTGGACCATTGGGACTTAGTTAATTGATTACCGGATCGCGTCACTGAAACAAGAAGGACCTCTTGGCGTGCAATTTTCACGAGTCGAGTAAACCGATATAATCGAGGAATGTATATGTATATATTTAGTGGACATTTGATTTCGCCCTGGATCAACTAATTATTCTTCTCCTGCCAATTTATCTAGTGCATGAAGCACAGTTATCCTTAATTGTACTTATAATCAATTGAACTAATCATTGTTATAAAAATCACGGCATTAAACATGATTAATGAAATATACGCAAGCAAAACATCTGTACATGTCTACGCATTATTTATTATTATAATATATAATTTACCCATGTATAATTAATTTAATTAATAATTAATTAATTAATTAAATAATATATTAATTAAGGGGGTCAACTTGTCCTTCACACGATCAATTAGATATCGCTCAGAGTTCATTGTAGCCGTTTTGACCATAGATTTCGGGATACTCACCAAAGGGTCGAAAATTTGCCAAATTTCCTCCAGGTAGGTCCTCTGAATCAGCCGGAAAGCATGGCTCGTCATCCGGGACGAGAAATTCTGATGATATTATGCTTCTTTGCGCGAGCTCGCGCCAATTGATTTTCGACGTTATTTCTTATATCTAGTGTACTTTGGAAAAACTCGAGCTTTAAACTATTTAATGCCCAACTTGTCAGCTTTAATTCTGTGTATGATTGTTTTCGAAATATGAAGTGGCTGTGCCACACTTTGCTCCGATATGACTAGGTTGTATTTTTATATGTTCCCACTTTCATGATGTGGCTACACGAGTACGGAGACGTTAAAAATTTTTGTGTTATGCAATCCCATTCACTTCACACCCATAAATAATGCCACAAATAGTTGAATTTTGATTTCCTTCATTTTTGAAGTGGCAGTATGTTAACTTCCGATCACGTCCATTCACTTTTTCATGGCAGTGGCAGACACGCTTCACGAGTTCCTCTGCTCTTTTTGACCGCATTTTTTAGATTTCAAGATAATTACTATCGGTTTTCGAATTTCCAAATTAGACAACATTTCCCATAGTACTACATATGTCAAATTTATGCTCTCACGCATTATTTTAACATGCAGAATGGAGTTTCAATTTCTTCCAGATTGGATAGGACCAACTCTCATGTACCCCGTATCTAATTCCCAGTAAGAAACTAAGGTTTACCTTTTCTAAGTGTGATGCAGATGTTCGTGATTTGCTTTAACACTAATGCTTATACTTTTGTAAATATTATTTTTTATTCGTTATACATTTACGTTTTTTGATAAACCAAAATTTCATAACCTTCCCATTCGAAATAACTTGGTGTGCATTAATTTATTCATTTGATTAATTAAATATACAACACATTTTGTATCATATACATAAGCCGAGTTTAATTTCGGACGCAGTTGCTAACATTATGCGTGCAATTAATTACTTAACTAAAAATTCCCTCGATTTTCCCTCATAGTTATGCATATTTCCGTCCACTGTTAACTTATAGTATCCAAAATGCCGAATCCTATATGTGCCGGGTTCCATGTCGGGGCTGAGGAACCACCGTACTTCTACTTCTCGGATCTCAGGTCCCCTCCAATGGAACCTGCAAAAATAATTAACTTAGGTATTTTACATTATCAAAAAAACGAAATTTCTAATTTAAAGTATTGATGTAGAGCAGGGTATGCTACCCCGGGTTTTTGGGGTATTGCGCGTGTTGGGGTAGCACTATTTA